ATGCTTATGTATGTATATAAATTTTTATTACGCGTGGATATACACATTTGTTTGTACAACTATAACTATGCATACACACAAGGAAGCTTTTGCTTTTTTTTTTGGGACGTATATTTAGGGACACCCTTATTTAAGACTGTGTATGGTTCAGTGGTATATATGATTTGAACTAAATAGTTGTACTGACGTTCAAAGTAACAATATTTTTCTCTCTGTTCAAATGCACACGTATATATAATTTGTTGCCTATAAGTGTGGAAGTACTACTATTCATGTTGCTATACTCGAATTGCCGCTTGTCGCAGATTCGTCCGCTCTGGAGGCACTACTTCCAGAACACACAAGGATTGATCTACGTGGTCGATAGTAATGATCGAGAACGTATTGAAGAATCTCGCGAGGAGTTAGGGAGAATGGTAAGTTTCTTCAACGTGATGTGTGTCTTGTGCAGGTTATATATTTAATTTGTTTGGTGAATAGTTTTTGTTTTTGTTATCGATTTGTCCTTTTAAGAACTATGATTACAAACTATATTAGATTGTACTGGGTGTCTCTATGTGATATATTTTATTGTGCATATATGTGTCGAGCACATCGTTTCTCACGCAACATATGAATTCTGGTGGAGATTCAGAAATTTCAAATTAAGATTAGAGAGGGTGATTATCACTTAAGCTGTTGTACTCTCTCTATGAAAGTTTGCGAGACATGTAAATACACACCGTGCGGACACATTAGGGCGAAATATTGATCTTCTCAGCACAGCATAAAACTACTATTCCAAAAATTTAAAAACATCTATAAAATTTTAACCTTCCTTTCTGCTGCTTCCCCCACACTACTTAATGACAAATATGTCGTCTCATATGGTTTTACTTGCTCACGTGCATTTCCCCGTATCACAAACCGTGGCAGTTGGCGGAGGATGAACTGAGAGATTCGGTTTTATTGGTGTTCGCCAACAAGCAAGATCTGCCCAGTGCTGTGCCGGTTAGCGAACTCACGGACCTGCTAGGTCTACAGGGACTCAACAACCGACAGTGGTACATCCAGGTAACCTATCTGAATACGGTTGAAAATTTCGCGACGTGTTTTTGAGTTTGCCTATTGGCTAGCTAGATTATATGTGATTTCTTTAATCGGTGCTGGTATACTAGGTGAGTCTAAACTACTTCGCGTTTACAGTTCCGGCTATAACAGTATTGTATTAATTATATACATATCGACGAGAGAATTTTAGAGCCTGTATGCACTAAGAAATGGCCAATAGTACATGTAGGCAATATCATATCCTTGAAGGTGGGTTTTAACTTATCTTCTGTGCAAACTTCTCGTAGAACACTGGTATAACTATCACAGTCTTAGCTTGTACATGGATACCCTCTAATCAACGAAGTACGTTGCGTATATAGAACAAACTTGCATATATACCTGC